AGCTATACACAAAGTTATATAGCGTCGTACTCCTTTGGTCACAAACTCCAGCATGTAGAAGAGGCGTAGGCAATTCGCGATCCGGCTCGTTTCACAACACTACGTCAGAGATGGGATCTGTATAGTCGATTGGTGTTTGACGATGCTGAGAGGGTCAGCGTACGAAAGCTTAACTTGGTCAGCCTCTGAGGATGTTCACCATCGGCGTGGACAATGCAAGTTGTCAATTGGAAGCAGCCTGGGAAGGTATCACGAAATAGAGCAACGTCTTTCTGGTTCAGTGGCCGTATGACCAATTCAGCGTGGCGTAATTTCCGCAAACGGAAGCAAGTACTTGTGAAAATATGGCTTCAGACAGAGTAGGGTCAGCGAATTTGCTTCGTTGCTAATACTGTCATACGTAATGGATCACTTCGTAGCTAATGGTATAGGGAGGGATAATGTTTATCTAACTTTATCATTTGATTGAGGTCTCTTTGGCAGGGCGGAAATAATCTTGGAGAAAGTGTGTCCTATATATCAAGTTGCTTTAAATTATGTATAGTCTTACTGAATGGCATTGCCGTGCCCTGTGCTAGATAGCTCTGGATGCGATGCAAATCGCCGTCTACTGACGCTAGATCCTTGGCAAAGAGCTATAATTGGGGTTGAGCTTATTTGGATTGATAGCTGGTTTTATTCGTATTTTCTTCAATCATCCAACCATTTCTGACTTGTGTCAAAAAAAAAGTCCGCTAATTCGTTTCCTTATCTCCAGTACAACGATTTGCCTCCGATATTTACCTTTCCTCCATGATTCCAGCTACAGCTTTGCTTGGCAAATTTTCCACTTGCCCTCTATTGCTAGATAAGGGCCTCCTCAACAGTCAGAGGATGAGGCGGGACTAAAAGTCTAGAGCGGTCTTCAGTAGCCATGCACCAGAATGCAGCTGCATTCTAGACATTCATGTCAGGCCACAGGAATGCAATGCAGTTCGTCTTCATAGAGGTTTACTATTCATCTTAGTGAATGTACATTAGGTACTTAAAGGACTCCAGGCTAACTGATCAGTAACAGACGTAGACGACATTGGTGCCACTCAAGCGCCGGCTCTGCTAATAGTGATAGGGACAGGCTGGCTGGGTACCAGCCATTTCTCCCTAGGGTATAATTGAAATCGTCTCTTTGGTTCTTTGTTAAATTGCTTGTCCTATACAGACCTAGTGCATGGGAGGTTTTCATTGTCCCCGTATATATCGGTTTACTCTCAATTCTCCAGAATACACGCAAGGAAGTACATACTACTAGTAATTATGAAGAAGAAAGGTAATATCAACAGCTCATTACCTATTCATTACCTATTATGCAAGGAGCTATAGGTGCCGACGAAAGACCCGTCTGAAACATCCCAACCATGTCCTCCAGGAGACAGTTCATTTTTTCCGCTGGCTCACTTGCAGCCTTTTAGCCCAGAGGTAATTGTAGTCCGGCATTGCCTCCCTAACCCATTGTTCCATTTGCTTTGCTAGGCTCTCACCAAATTCCACGTCCCATTTTCCTCTCTCCAGGGCAATGTCCACAGTGGCCGGCGTTTTCTCTTTTATCAGGCAAGACGAATGGTTTAGCGTTGACATCATTACTTCCTCGGGAGTTTTAGGACCGACTCCGGGCACATCATACTGAGAGTTTCCAGATCCTGCCGAATCCCAGGCAAACTTAACTTCCGCTGGAGACATCCCTATGAGCTCGCAGTATTTCAGAACAACCTCCGGGCAATGGATGACATCCTGAGCATCCAAGAGTATCGGAAAGCATTTGTCAAGCTGCTCCGCTGAGATTGACTGGGTGCCACGTTCACAGCACCAATCGTAGAGCAGTCTAGTCCATTTGAGAGTCGAGTGCAGCTCCATCAGTGGTTGGATCTCATGATGTCCAGCAAATCCTTCTTTCTCCAGATTTGCAGCAGCCCGGTAGAAGGATGGCAATGCTAAGGCGGGATGGCGTATAAGAAAGGTCACTGTCCAAGACTCCAGGTACGTGTCCGGGAATATAGTAAAATTATTCAATGAAAAGCACTCCTCAGCGCCCTTTGACGTCGGAACTTGGATGCCGAGTCGCAAAGACGCCTGGTAATCGTGCTTCAAGATATAATGATTGATTGCGGCAGGATCCGCTATCCATTGGGCATGTTCTTTGGCGAAGAAAATTTTGCCTTGAGAATCTGCTGACTGTGCCATGTTCTCAAAGTTGTTCAAGCTGAGTTGAAATGCTTTTTGGACTGCTTCTACGTCCCCTTGACTCCAGTGCTCCATTGGTCTGCGTTGGGAAATGACCTTTCGCACTTCCATGAAGGCGTCCCAGAAAAAATATCCACCCTTCTCGTTCGACAAGACGTTCGTTTGCTTCTCCAAGGAGAGCATTTTCACCAGTAGATTGGATGCTGTTCGAGGGTAAGTGATTAATAATATACGCTTCCGCGACGTGGGGAGGAGTGCATCATTGTTCGGAGCCATAAGTGATATAGAAGCTGCCAAAAGGAACGGAAGAAATTAAGGTTCAAAAGGGTGGTATGAATGAGGAAGGGCGGATATTCGGTGTATCGGTCTAAAGTAAGCTGGATGTTAGCGTGGGCAAGTCAGGAGGATAAATATGGAAGCATTACTAGGTACAAGCTTAGACATCTAGACTTTGCCATCTCTAACTCAGTTGGATGTGGACTGAAAGAGCCCAGAAGAGTATCTTAGACTCATGAACTAGCGGTGATACCAAACCAAAGCTTAAGTACCATAGTGAAGCAGCGCATTGGTAAGCAACAATCAACCCTTGCCTGTAGCATTCATAGTGCGGAATGTTATTGGCGGAGAGAAAGTATAACAGTCATAGTGGAGGTGTAATGCATTACGGGAAGAAATCTCAGAAGAAATCAGGGGAATTACGGTGATGAGCTCATATAAGCCACATTCCAAGTCCCGGAATGTAGCACTCAAGATTTGGACCCTTCCTTATCACAAACTTCGGGGAACATCCACTTAATGTAATCGCGATCAGCTTGCACTGCACCAACACATTTTCAAAAGTGTTGCCGAAAGCGGACTTTGAAGTTCCTGATAAAACCCAATTTCTAGCCTCTAGCCCGATTGTGACGTCTAGTGCAGCCGCATTCATGAGCCAGGGAAGGGACCAGTGTGCAGAGCTTCGATGTGCTTGGCTTTCAAGTCGATGAGGCCCAGAACCGAACCTCGCCGGGAGTCCCGCAAATAGTACGACGGCCCATTAGTATCCTAAAAATCCACCATACGTTCTTCGCACTGAGTGGGCTCGGCTAACTTCAGTCTTAAACTGTCAGCCAGTGAACTGTAACCAGACTTTTTGGCTCTTTTTCTTCATATCGCCACGAAGGTGACCATTGGAGGGCCAGAGTAAGTGGTACCTCAATCTGTTCCTTACAGAACCTTCCAGCAGACTTGTGGTGTAGAAGTGGATTTGCTACGCGTCCCTGCTTTGGTTTTTCAGACACAGAAAATTGCAGCAGAAAAAGGAACCATAGAAACTCAAGCAAGGTGAAAGTGCAGCGGACTTTAATGTTGCATTAGACATGACGTAAATATACATAATCCGGCTCGGTTTCCACCGGAATCGCGTCGAAATACAGTTTAGAAACACAAAAACGGCCTAAAACATCCTGAGTGACATCTCCATTGCAACGCTACGCGGGCTAGCTAGTATAGCTTGATGTTTAAGGAGATAAATCATGGTGTAATACTAGGATTGCAAGGTTGAATGGCTCTCAGCCCTTGTAGGGTTGTTCCTATTAATGCTCCGGACTGTCTCTCGAAATCAACCGTAGTTATTTGCAGTGTTCATATCAGTTCAGGCCCTTGCCAGTATACTTAAGGACACAGAGGGTGATCTCTCATAATCAAGACGCTATGGTTTTGAACCAGAACCACTTAGTATCATTTAAAAAGAGACTGCTGGGGATTGGTTGCATCTTGATGTTCGTTCACATGATGAATTGCGCCACTTGGACCTCATTTCAGTCAGTAGGTGAAAGCTACAATTTATGGGTCATCCAGAGACTATGCTGACTATCTTCGATTTAACAAGCGGCCGGATATCCGCACCCCAGTACTTGATATCAGCATAAAAGACGATAGGCTTCTTACCCCGGGCTACCTATTCCTCACTCCCTATGGCGTAGATATGCCTGGGCCATATATCTTTGACACTTCTGGTGTTAGTGCAATACCGCTGCTCTAGCACCTAACAGTTCTGACATATTTAGAATCTTATATGGAGCGGGGCTGATAGCTCTACTACTGAGATATATCATGGCTTGCATGTTTGCCCTTATAATGGATCAGACCACCTCTGCTTCTATCAAGGAATCCAAACTGAGGGATATACAAGGGGTCGCCAAACAATCTTTGACAGCACTTACAAGCCAACAGCCACTGTGCAAAGTGGGAATGGGATGCTTCCATGTGATTTACACGAAATGACGGTCCTTGATGGAGAGACAGCACTCCTAACAATATATCAAACAAGGCCTTACAACCTTGAAGAATATGATATAAATGCTGCAAATGGTTGGGTTATAGACGGTGTCTTTCAAGAGGTTGACATAAAGACAGGAAAAGTTTTATTTCAGTGGAGATCGCTTGACCATGTTCCCCTTTCAGCTTCCCAGACCCCTCTTAGGTTAGATGAAATGGTTGGTGATGGCCTAACTAATAACAGTGCTTGGGATTACTTTCACATCAATTCAGTGGATAAAAATCACGAAGGAGACTACCTTGTGTCTTCAAGGCATGCCAGCTCCATATACAAGGTTTCCGGCAAGGATGGGTCCATTATATGGCAACTGGGTGGCAGGCAATCATCTATACAACTGACAAATTACAATTTCTCCTATCAACATGATGCCCGGTTTCGAGAGGAGAATGAGACCACAACTGTTCTCTCTTTCTTTAATAATGGAAGCAACCAACATCAAAACACATCGTCGACTTCGTCAGGAATGATCATCTCTGTCGATCACAATACGAACACCTCAACATTGATCAAACAATACAACGCTCCGGGTGATGGTCTGCTCTCAACGTTCCTAGGAAACACTCAGATATTGACAAACAACAACGTCATAATTGGATGGGGCAATAATCCTTCAATTTCAGAACATACAGAGGACGGCACTGCCATATTCTTTGCCACATTGGTGGGTATAGATGTACAGAACTACCGTGCATTCAAATATAACTGGACCGCAAAACCAAATGACCCTCCAGCCCTTCGGGCAGTCAGCACATCTGGGAACTCAGCAACCACCTTCTGGGTTAGCTGGAATGGAGCCACAGACATAGACCGTTGGAGGATTCATGCTACAACCCCTGCATCCGACGAATTTGTGCCTTTAGATGCAATACAAAGACAAGGGTTTCAGACTACATACACCAGCATGAACTATCACCCGAAGGCTTTTGCAGAGGCTATTACAGCGGATGGGCTGAGTCTAGCAAACTCATCAGTTGTGGATACATCGTCGACGTTACCTGCGAGCGAGTAAGGATGCTAGGGCACTTGGCGAACCGAAATTCTATTATGATAAGTAGCGGTCAATATATTACCGGCGTAGCTCTCAGATTTGTCTTTCTTAACCTCAGTTTCATGGGATACTACTAGTACGTCGTCTCCTTCAGTGACCCAATAGTCTGATTTCATACATCCCACGAGTCATACGTATGATTAACTCATCATCAAGCTTTTCCATACTAGAAATATGGAATACCTCAGCACTCCGCGCAGGTGATGCTAGAGAACTGATGGACATGATATTATATGACTGTTTCTTTATAACCAAAGGTTGATATATGGCAACATTGGCTCTCAAGAGCAAGTCTAGCTTCTGCCCGCTTGGAGTAGGCACATTGGATGTGCAATGTCAAGGTACGGAGTTGTACATATAATACAGGTTGGAGGTCCAAACCACCCTTAAGTATTCTGGCTTTCCTAATGGCTGGTAGCCAGTAAGATAGATCATTTTTTATGCTTCAGAAGTGTTGCTTATAACTTAAAAACAGCTAGCAAATATAAGTTATATAAGGTATGAATCCACAGGGCGTAATGCTGTTATCTTCTCATTTTTATAAGAATTCAATGGTAAGGTGGGAGCCATGGCCATTAAATATAAGGATGTGTTGCTCTCCTCTCCTTGTACGACTGTCGCCGCCTCCACAAAATTCTAAAGCCCTTCAAGGGCTAATTCATCGGATATCCGCTACTTGGTGAGGTTGATGTCGTTATATATGGTGCTAAATTCTCACTCCTGTAAACCTAACACTCCATGAAGATACTGCTACCTTTAAGGATGAAGAATGGGTCTAGCTGCCAGCCATCCATAGCTATATATATAATAGCCATGGTGGTGTATCTTTCTTGACCATATTTGTAAGTAGATAATACCAGTGCGCTAATAATCCTACATCTTTAGCCTGGATACGCTTTGATTCTGTATTTCGCTTCACTGGACCTAGTTTTTAGGCCTGGTGGAAGAAGTTGCTTAGGCTTACCATCGTGTATAGGTAGGTGCCTAATTCGCTCACTCCTGTAGTAGCTTAGGTGTCACTGGTAAGTTGTGGTCACGCATATAAACTATCCAGTGTATCAATGTTTCCTCCTAGTGCCCCTTAAGAGCTTTATTAGCTGGTTTCCTAGCCGTACGAAGCTTCGTGCAGCTTTTGACGCGATCATGGTTGGTTTATGCGAGGAACGCCATCTTTGCTCGCGACCCTGGTGATATTTAGATTTTCTTGGACAGGGGCAGCCTCACCGGCCTCAATTAGGCGAGATTCATCTAATTTAGCAGATTTTGGCATATTGTGTGACGACAACAGCTTCAGAACGCGTGATCGTGGGTGGTTTGGTCAAAGTGATGGTTACGGTGCGATTGACGGTTACGGTGTGGGTGCGCTGCCAAGGGACGGTTATAGAACGCCCTTGTTATACATTCTTGAGCTTTGCCCTTTACGATACATTCCTGAGCTTTTGCAGAATTTAGCACCGTACCTGTGTCCACATTCTGTGAGGCAACACGTTCCGACGTAACTTGAATGAAAATGCTGCCTAGCCTGCGCGATCTCTTAAACCGCGATCACCTTGCTACTCGTTAGAGAGCTTATCCCTACTTATAAGCCTGGTCAGATCTAGAACTCTAGCTATAAGGCGAAACCAAGCCACCAGGCCAAAGAACCACAAAACCTACTGTGATTGGTTGGCATGCACAGTCTGCTGACTGTCGCCCTCATCGACGAAAATCTGGCACGAAATAAGCGTCATAACATTCCTAAAACACGCTATGCAGATTGATCAATTACAGCAAGGAAGGCTAAAGAGGCTGCTGCGGTGGAGAGAAGGTTACAAAGGCAGTGGGAGATGGTGCATGGTAAGAAGCTACCTATCAACGCCCACTTTCGCCGCCTAAGACACAGATACTTGGGGCTCATCTGAAATGTACACATTCCACATAACAGAGGACCCGGGGTAATTACTTCCTATAATAAAAGCCCATAATTACAAAGATCTAGTAAGTAATATTAGCTTATTTTGCATAATGGGGTTGAAGGACTGAAGGTTGCGAAGCTGTGGAGGTTACACAGAACCTTACCTGGACTTCTGAATGCGGTAGGGTGCCCTCTTGAATAAGCTGCGCGCAGCAAGCCGAACTCCCGGTAATCCAGGACGAAGGCTTCAAGGCTTCCAAGAGCGGAATTCCACTCTCCTGGAGCACAATATCTGGAAACAACCCCTAACCCATTTAAAGTTGACAATGGCGAACAGGAAATTTGATGCAGAGGACGATGTTCGTACAATGCGGCATTACTTCTCCGCTTTACACTCCTTTCATGGTCAAAATGTCCGTCAGGATGTTTATTAAAGATCACTATGTTATACTATGGCCTCCTTGGCTACGATGGCGGTTGCGATCTGTCATAACTAGTTTCCTCGCTCTTGCTTTTGTCTGGATCATTACCTTTTCCGCTCGCTACCGATCCTCTGTCACAGACGGGCCCGATTCGGAAGCCCTGCAGGATGCGTTTCAGGTGGAGTTTGGGACAGCACACGATGTCAGAAATGAGATGTATTTCACCGGTGGAACGCTTTCTTTGACATCAAACGATGGCCAGACTACTGATCCCCTGACACATCCACAACCAATCGTGTACGATCCTTACCCGGCCTACAACAGTCAAGACTGGAATCGGACATGGAGAGGTTCGTTTCGGCCTTGTATGGGTCCGCGAGCGAGGGAGTTAGACAGGACTAATCCAGAGGATATGATGTTAGTCTATCTTGGCAATCAAAGAGGTGCCGGTTCCCTAGCATCTATCTTGCTTCAACGAGAACACTAACTCTTAATAGACTTTCCCGCGCCGACGTTTGGCTCATACGACGCCATGGATTTGGATGATCGCGTCTGCGCAGATCGATTCGCCAGATACGGCGCCTACGGTTATGGTGAGAACGAAACTGATGAAGTTCCAGGGTTTAAAAAGCCCTCCCGAGTCGCATGGGACACGTTGCAGTGGGGGAATCTTCAACAGCAGTGTCTGGAGAGAAATTGGGACCGATATAGTAATGAGTCACTCGAAACAAAATACTCAAATGTATATCCCTCTGCAATCCCCCAGGCGCGACCACCGCGGCCACCACAGAAAAGAGCAGAAGCTGGCTCTGTTCCTAGGCTTTTCCCCCGGTCGGCCGTGCTCGTTCGCATCTGGCATGACATGAACTGGACCGAGAATGATAAGCACTACCTCCGCTCATTGATCATGGAATTGTCACTCGGCTCTGGTGCCGAATATGAGGTCTTCCTCATGGTGCACGTCAAAGACCTGTCGCTGCCAATCTTTTCGGACTCATCAACGGTCGAGCAGATCAAAGCAACATTTATTCCCGCAGAATTTCGGGATATTGTGATTTTCTTTAACAACAAGCTTCTAGAGGCCTGGTATCCGAATATCGAGGAGCACGAGTGAGTTATTATCCGGACAGCATAACGTACCGTAATAACCGGCGAGACATGGTATTGACATCTTATAGACCAGTATACCAACACTTTCAACCAGTGCAATACTTCTCCCAAATGTATCCTGAGTTTGACTATGTCTGGCAACTCGAAATGGACTCGCGAAACACCGGCCATGTGTATCATTTTTTTGATAAGGCAGTTGAATTTGCTAAAAGGCAGCCGCGCAAATATTTGTGGGAGCGCAACGCATATTTTTACACTCCAGAGGCTCATGGTACCTGGGAAGAATTTACGAACATGGTTGGCAACACCATGGCTGGTCGCCAGAGTGTCTGGGGCCCCTTGCCGGCAGACGAGGTGGAACCGGTTGGGCCCAGGCCCCCCGTGGAAACCCCAGATTTGGACGACTATGAATGGGGCGTGGGCGAGGAAGCAGAGTTTATCACTTTCTTGCCAATCTTCGACCCCAAAGGGACATTGTGGACGTTTCCTGACAAAATCTGGAATTTTCAGCAGGGTTTAGACACACCGCGCCGTGCCGCCGTCATTACCATGTCCCGTTCTTCCAGAAGACTGTTGACCCTCATGCATGAGGCACAGTCAAGGCGTGGTCTGGGCCTGGTCTCAGAGATGACAGCAGCATCATGGTGTTTGCACCATGGTCTGAAGGCTGTACATGTCCCACACCCCATCTATCTGGATGGGAAATGGACAGGCCGAGAGCTTGTGGACCGTTTCAACCCTGGTGAGCCCGAAAAAATAAATGGGGGTAACGACAGTATCTGGAACTGGAATCACCTTCTTGACCATATCATATACCGCTCCAGTTACATGTTCACAACCTACACGGCAGAAGACCTCTTTCGAAGATGGTTAGGATTCAAGTCTGACGATGGGGGAGGCGGGAAGGCGGTAATCGCTCACACCTAAACGTTACGTGTCACCTATCATGTCTAACTGGAACGCAGTACGAAGCAGTGCATGGCCGTCTATGTTATCCTCCTATTTTCCTTCATACAATCAAGAACACAGCGGAAGAGAAGGGGCCGATCAAGCCAGTTCCGTGACACAACAATGACCTGGGGCGGGAATTGATGAAATCAGCCTTTGGAACATTGAATGATAGCTAGACTTGGGCGTTCTTAGTGGAGCTTTTTCCTTCTGGCTGCAAACGACATGCCCGGCCGCATCCAGGACTCCCGGAGGAATGCAGGTTCCTTGCTTGCAATATGCGACAGACTAGCGTCAATTCTCGCAGCAATGACTTCAGTACGTACTGAAACAAGGGAAAGATGCAGTCTTGAAGTGTGTAAAAGCCTGATCCGTTCGGGTGGACAGATGTGGTTAGGAACGCCTAATGATCCGTTGGCCTGCACTGACCTTCTGCGGTGGACTCCCTAATCGCGCTCTGCAGCATCACCGGTGAAGAGGATTCGGTGCTGTACTCGCGATGGTTAAGCCTAACAATGCATATTGGGGCCTTGACTGTCGCATGTCTGGCTTGCTTCAGGACTGCCGCAGCGCGGGGACAGGAGTGGTCGTGGGGAACTAATCAATAAATATCGTGAATGTCCAATCCCCACTCATTGTTGGTAGCGAATGTGTTGTATGGTAAGATGGAGTCGATGCGAAAGGGCTGCACAGAGTCTGGCCGAAACGGGAGCCGAGGACCGGAGCTATTTTGTGGCAATTATTGCGGAATACGCAAAATCATTTAGACTCAAGAGGATTGTACCAAGTCGACCATGGCGCCAATTTCGAGTAGCAGACAGCTTAACAGGTTCTTATGTTTGTAGAGAGTCTGTGGTCATCTCCAGAGCTGCGCCTATATTGCTTCTTGATCCTAGACAGGCCCGGGTCAGAGGCCCCTCTTATAGACACTTCAATGTATTTCTATGCTAACGCGAAGTGGGACAGAGTTTTATACCTTATGTTGACGTACTCAGGAAGTGACGTAATTTGCGGGTGTGGTGAAGGTCACCGCAGAAAAAAGGTGTGGGATGGATAATAGCTTTGCCCATGTTTCAGTTTTACTTTTGCTTGCTTGACCTGGTGGGCCCTGCAGCACAGCGGAATAGTGGCCGCCGCCATGCCTTGTTGATGCTCGGCCTGGTCTTTGGACGAATGATGTTGGCCGACAGGCCTTCTTCTTTTGACCGATGAAAGTCCCATTGGGCGTTAAGTTATGGCACTATATGCTAGTCCGGAATAATGGACTACAAGCGGGCGGTATGAAGTTGGTATTCAAGTCATTCTGTATGCGCAGCTACACCGACTGAATTGCCTTACTCGGGTTATAGACCCAGTAAGTCCGTTTTTCCAGACATAACAGTCATATGACACCTTCAGTGTCATGTGCATGTCGGAGAGGTACCTCTCGTTGATCACTAGATATAGAATTGTCGATCGCCTTAACTTTAATAGGATGGGGTGAATGGAAAGCAAATGTGATCAGACATCCTGCCATCGAGCCCGACACCGGGGCCTTCAGGGAAACCCCACGAAGTTATCCCCTCTGACAGAGACACGGTCTGTTGGGCATAAGAACATGGTTTGCCCCGGCTGTCGTCAAGCCATTCTGCCTCGAACTCTTGGGAGTCGAAAGGACCGATTCATCGTTCAATCAAGATTGGTTGCATAATTGGCGGCTACTGTAACTTTTTGCTGTACTTACTATCAGAGTACGACTAGCATATCTACTACTATCACGATCCAGTCGAGATGCTGCTTCCTGTGAAGAAGTTATCGCCTTAGGTGAGATTTTTGACATGGGGGCGGATGCGATATTAATTTTACCTACTAATGCACGGAGAGTGGTCTGGCTACCCATGCCAAAGAGCTGATGGACGGTGGCTGTTACTCATTGCTAGTTTGCAATGCCAGCTCTGAGCTTGCAACCAGGCTCCTAGCCACTGTGCTATGCCATAACTCTGGCTTGTGTGGGAATCCCTAAGCGCGATGTACATCTAGTAAATAAATAGTGTCATGGAGACTAAGACTGTTATACTGTATATAAAATCAAGGGTGCTGTAAGGGGGAATTGTATCCTAGCTGTTCGAGTGGCCCCAGCCAGCAGCACAGGGAAATTTGCTGGCCTTGCGCATTGAGCCAATGAGTAGGTTGACGCAGATGACGCAGGGATGGAAGATCAATGGGCGCATAGTACTGGATTTGGAACAATCGAAAGACAGTAGTAGCGTGCGTAGTGAGACATAACATTCTTTAATGCGTCCTGTGCGTTGAGTAATAGATACCTGCAAGGACATACGGTATCAAATGGTCATTTTCATTTTGCGCACGCATGCGCTCGCTTTCCCTTTATACCCTAGTCCGATCCAGCCAGAAACCTTTGGTAGTCTTTGATAACGACTGCGGGACAGGCGCCGTTTCTAGTGCCCTTCATCAGATACTCGGCGACGAGACTACACGCAACTGGTAATTGACCTGTGGCGATGCATCTGAGACCATGGTTGAGATCTACAAGCAGAAGATGAACGAAGAAGGATAGCGCAATGCTAAGATGAAGGTTGTGGATGCGCAAGATACTCATCTTCTGACTGCACACTATACACATGACTTCTCAGCTTTAGGTATGTTGGCGAACACACATGAAGATAGCTAATATTAACAGTATAACAGCTTTTAACCTCTTCCCAAACGACCAAGCTGCAACGGAAGGTAGGTTACTCATAGTATAGTGATAATAGAGGGGCCTCGCTAATATTTATCCACCTAGAATGTTTCAGATCAATTCAACCAGGAGGCATGCTTGCCATGTCAGCTTGGTGTTCAAGTACGTTAACCTTACCTAGTATATTATGTAAGTCTAAGCACGGGAAGCATAGTAATAGTACGGGGGGATTCTATCACACACCCACGGGGACGGGAGCACGCAGGAGCCTGTGGAGCCACACGAGGGGAAAGCGGACTGACCAGCCAATCAGCAGGCGAAAAAAAAATGTGAATGACGGCTGGGTTGGGCAGCACCATGGGGAGCAGGGAAAATAAGAGATGAAAAGAGTGTTGATTCTGATGAACTAAACTATTGAACTTCATGGGAGTTGAAATACCCATGAACATACCAAAGGCTCAGGGGTTACAAGCGTGAGGGGTCCAGATATGACAAAAATACAGGCAAATCAAAGAGGGGGTAATAGAGGGGTTGCAGATCTCAGCCACGGTAGTATCTGACAAGTCAATACAATGCCAATATCCGTTTTCCTGACAATACATCACATGAGGCAAAGTCTTATATTTAAATTTGCAACTATATACTCCGTAGGATAGAATCCTTCCATGTGTACATCCTAGAGTTGCATTCGGTCCGAGTTCGGGCGAGTCCAACCCTAGTTGGAACCGAACCGCTGCGATTTCGAGTCCAAATTTTAGAAATCGGAACCAACCCTGACCCGTTCCGATTCGGTGCGAGTTTAACCGCAAAATCCGCTACTAGGCCTAGATAGGCAGTCACTAGCCTGTCTAGGTGGGCGGTATGCCTAGGCAATACCAAAAATTTCAATGGTTTCTAGAATTCAATTTCTCCTATCTTAGGCCTATACTAAGGGCCTATTAAACATGCTTTTATAAAATTATAATTTTAATATGAAATATATGGTAATTATAGTCTTTTTGATATATATCTAAAATATTAATTTAATATCTATAGGGTTGAATGGGTGGTGGTTAAAAATCATTCTTTAACTATAGTGATTATCAACAGTTGATGTGTATATATATATAAACCACCACCACTTCTATACCAACCCATAACAGAAATGATTATTCCCTTATATCTCACCAACCACTAAATATTCTGAATTGATATTTCATATTTAGATAGACTAGATACTAGGCTACCTAGTAATATTAATATTTCTAGAGAAATCCTAGAAAATAGTGATTACTAAGCAAAACGGTTTCTAGCGGTTTAACCGCTGACCCCTTGGATCCGACCCTGACCCGCCCCTAACCCGGTGCGGTTTCTCAATCTAGGAACCGAATCGAACCGCTGCGAGTTCGGTGAGGGTCGGATTCGATTTTAGCGGTTCGGTTATGCAACTCTAGTACATCCCCTCTTATTTTCACGGATTTTTTGCAAGTTTATCCCAAGAACCTCACTCAACGAGCCCCTTATCGCCTTCTCAGCAGTCCAATTAAATTAGATCCAAGTTTTCTTCATCATGACCAGAATATTGTTCCTACACACCCATTAGCCAGGGATAAACCCGAGTTCAACAACCCCTCCTCCTCCGCGGTTGTGCTGAAGAAGCACAGGATGAGAGCCTAAGCAGGCACTTACTTATGTAGTAAGAGGCATCATATTGCTTTTGCTTGCTGAGTATTGCAAAGACTTGATGGCCCATTACTACTCCCAGCCCCACTTTAGAGTGCCATAACCCAGTCTCCCCTACCCAGTACACTGTACTCTGCCCAATGATCTGCGCTAACGTACCACGAATTTCGATCGCTGAAAACGATTGGTTGACGCCCAAATGAATCCCCTACGATATAACTTCGTTTCCTTGTGTACTTGCACACCTGCGAGGAGTATGTTAATCTCGTATTTTGAGTTTGATGCTTTCAGTCACTATTCGCCTAACCTCTTGGCATATCCACGGATGTTTTTCAATAAAAGGAATTGATCCAACTCATAGCTTCAAAGATTTTCGGATATTCTGTGTATTTGTAACTTGACATTTTCCACTAATTCTGTCCCCTGCTATCCAAAGCTTCCTTCTCAACCTGCAAAATCACTCCAATATCATCATGCTCGGGCACGTCTCAATTCGTGTGTCAGATCTTGAAGCGTCTACCGAATTTTACCTCCGCGCTCTTCGCCCTCTAGGATTTGAAGCAATGCGCTTTCCTACTGTGGTTGGTCTTGGACCTCCAGTGAAGTCTTCATCTGCTCCGATTCCTTGTTTTTGGCT